CCGATGGTAGCCTGACAGTATTGGAAGAAATCCTTGGCCCATGGCCATATTGGCGTTTTCCCACAGAGAATACAATGATTCCTCTGTCGGTGAATACACTGTATGTGGTGGATCTCCGAAAAACCTTTGTGATAGCATTGTTACGAACAGAGAACATGGATCGCCCTCTTCTGATTGGTAAGCTGAATATCTCAAGCTTTAGGGTGAGCTCTTACAGTTTTGGTAAAAGAAAATAAAGACCCGCCGACAGGTCTCAAACAGGCAGTTCTAAATGCCTTGATGCTACGCGTAGGAAGTGAGGGTTTTACTTTAGGATCTGCAAAAATGCTTGGTACCTTCGAGGAGGTCACGGATCAAGACTTGGATTATATGGATCTCCAAATGCAAAGCAAGGACACATTCCCCACTGCGCTTTATGTACTGCCGGAGCACTGTACGTTTTTACTGTTGTAGTACTTTTGCCATTGGTCGTCATGACCAGCTAATGGTGATACCCTCAGCGAAAACTGCATTCAGGGTCAGTTACTCACTGGTTCTATTTCATTCCTGATATCATTTAGTTCAAAGCGAAACCGCAGATAAAAGGTCCCATACCAATGACATTTCAGACGACTATTTACATATGCGAGAAGCTTGTCGACACTGTGGTGAACATCCCCTTGTTGACATTGCAGTGCATCCATATAGCTCGCTCATTGCTCCATCTGATAATCAGCTTGGTTGAATCTGATAAGGGCGGCACTGAGGAGCTACAGAAGAATCGAGAAATAAAAAGGTAATATCATCAAATGGCATACTCTGTGGCTGATTTCCTTTAGGATTGTAGAGATTTTTGAGGAGACCCTACACAAGCTCGACGGAACCTCCATCGACAGCCTCACAGCAAGCTCGAATTTACAATCGATCTTCTGGTTTTGCTGTAGTGATTTTCCGGGTGCTGTAGCCATACGGTATTCTTACGATGCCTATAAGAGGATGGAGATGTCCGATTCACAAGATATGAGAAATCAGGGTATAGAAGATGATACGACCCTACCCAACATCACGCTCACTGACACAAAGCCTCTTTTGGCTGAGCGACCGGGGGGAGGGGATAGCTTTGCTGACGCCAAGTTAAAGAGTCCTTTTCGGTCGTCTCCCACGGACAGATTGTATGAAGGCACCTCTCTCTCTCTCTCCTATGATGTGCCTATGGTATATGAAGGCCTAGAACATTCAAGTGCCATCAGTTCAGCAGTCGCGGAGTCGGGGATTTCATTACCTTCCGTTCCCAATAACTCTTCAATCAGCGCCTTCAAAAGTACCGACTGACGGCATATTTTGATATCAAATGTGACGGTACACAGCACGCTCAAAAATGGAAATACATCTGTTATGTCGGGAACATCTTCGTAGGCTGTTCTGCCTGGCACAGTAATATGGATGCTGCCAAAGAAGAGGCTGCTGGACGCGCTCTGGAATGGTTTGATAAGTACGGGTATCCTTAGTACTCTCTCATCTGCACAGATAAATATAGTATTGCTGATCTCTCTTTCTTAATCGCCTCTGATACGGCTTGGTATATGATTACTTCCGTAGCTAATCCACTTTCACTCTTCGAGTATCATCTTTCATTTCTCTTCCCTTAAAGAGGTGGTCCATATTGCTATCTCGTGACGGTTTCCCGGTCTCATAGTAACATAGGATGCGTTGGTTTTGAAACATTTTGTAATGGACGCTTTTGTGACGCTTTTATGATAATATTCCATTTGTCTTCAGTATACCTCATGACTGAGCTGAGAACATGTGCACTCGATCTGTCATTTGCACTATTGCACACCACTGAATAGACCTCTCTGATGATTATTTTTTGATCTATTTTTAAAGGAGCTAGCAACCAATAGCTACATGACTCGATTGATGGCCGACCGTCACCCAATCCTGGGCATTGTATTGTTATGGGGCACTCAAATGTCCATAAGAAGTAGGGCTTCTGGGGTGTGCTGAATACTACACCCTCCAGGATGGTAATTGAACAAATAATAAACCAACATGAGAAGTATTATGGCGTTTATACAGGCTGGCCCACCCCTTACCGTGTACCTGAAGTGTAACTTTGAATATGTTACCGGTTTTATCATTCTGATTTGATGGGAGAGGGCAGGTTCTCAGTTGTCCATCCAGTGAGGAGACAGATCTAACGGGTGTAAGGGTAAGTTCAAATTAGGAGGCGAGGTGATGAATGGGCGACTGGACGTGATGCTCTCTGTAATGATGCGAACTTATTTATTTATTTCTACAGTTATATCAGTGAATATATATATAAAAGACTGTCAGAGGTAGCGTCAAAGATGTGGCCTCGGGTCGACAACCAAATGGTGCATATATCACACAAGTTATTACCTCTTCCTCAAAAGGAAACGTAAGATATTATTAAATAAAACTGATGTGGAGGAGAGAGCCTTGCTAGTCTAGGCACCCCATCAAATGTGGTGTGTGCAACTCAGCTCTTGCCCTGTCCCGCGATTCTCTCCCCCCTATCCACATAGAACGCCTAACGCCACGATCGATCGTATCCCCTTTGATGCCAGGAACGAACGACTTCCAGCTGGCAGCAATACTCTTTTCCCAAAAAAAAAAAACGTCATTCGGACTGTGCCACCCGTCGAGTATCATTTGCCAACGTTTGAAATCTTCAAAAAGAATTTGAGCAACATCCCGTCTATCAGCAGTTCTACGGATGTACCCGGCCGTCACTGAACGAGCGCTTTTGTCTCGATCCGTAGGAACACCAGTCGAGTGCCAAAGGTTCGCCCTGTCATGAAATAAACAACTCGTGCTTCTGATTGAAAAATATACATACCAGACTTATATCCTAGAGGCGTTATGATGGGCCAGAAAGGCCCACTGTTACTATGTAGGGCAAATCGTTTGGGGTCGGCTTCCCTGCAATTAGAACAATGAACCTGGAAAGCTCCGAGCAGTGATCTCGATGGACGGAAAAAGTGCAAGAGCGGATCAAAAGTTTTACACGATGCCCTACGAGGTCCCTATACCACCAGTCCGTTAACTTGTGCGGCTATTCCCGTCCTATAAAGCTTGACACAGAGCTCGTGTATAGGATTAAGTAGAGTTATCTCCCCGAGTCCCCTTCAAAGAGACGCGTCCATCCTCCACTCTTCTGCTGTGTTCAAACAGGTTGTCCTACGGGCTTTTCTGTGTATGTGCTTTTCCAAATCGAACTCTGCTCTCGATACAAGGGTCCTAACTTATATCTTCTAGGTGAAACTATCTTAAAATGTCTTCTCTCACTGAGGCCGCTCATTCACAACTAACACCTACATACACTCCTAATAACCGAGAGCGGCTCAATCAACGTTTGCAAACATATCGCTTGAGCGCGCGATTCGAAATGAGGAACGACGGCCCACAACATGCACAGAGGTGGAAATGCCTTTACTATATTGGTAATACATTTGTAGGTGGTTCTGACTGGCAGAGTAACAAGGATGCTGCAAAGGAAGAGGCGGCTGGGCACGCCCTAGAGTGGTTTGATAGGTTTGGATATCCTTAGTATCTTCTTCCGTAGCTGGTCACCATGTCGTTGATTTTCCTTTCCCCATTGATACATTCAGGAAACCGCTGTTCTGAAACTCTTCCCATGCATCCCTTCCTAATCTCCTATCCATCCTATATGATCACAAAACCCACATCATGAGATTAATTCAATAACGGACGCTCCAATACGCCACTATGACGATCTTCTGTTTGTAGAACTCTCATCCCCGTTCTTGTCTAGGCAATGATCGCTATCCGCGCAGCGCCATAAAAACATGTACATATCGAGTAAAGATAAATTCATAACGAATGATATGGACCTAACTACCGCTTAACGTATAATATATACTTCCAAAACGGAGTACTCTGGGCAGCCGTTCTATGTAATGTCGAATACTCTCTTGGCTGGGAATACTTCGCGGTATGATGCTCTGAATAAGAAATCACCAGTTAGAAGGATCCTGGATGATTGAATGGGACTTAATTCACATAGGCTTTTCGATTCGTGTTGGTACTTGGTACCCACCGGCTCGTTTCTTGCATAAGCGACAGATGCATCAGGACTGCAATATTGGCTTCTTATTCGTACTAAGAAGGTTGTTCAATACGGTTAATCTGATAAACGTGCTTACATTCGTGTCTGGGTTGGTACTTAGCTGCCAGGGGGGACCGAACTATTGTGTGCGAGCGAGTCGGCGAATGATACGAACTCGCTTCCTTTCCTTATTAGTCAGAAGTGTTGAAATTCGTCATAATAAGCGATATACATAGTCATGTAACGATTGATGATAGGCTACAAGCCCAGTAGCATGCAGAGACCCGATCGTCGGTCCGGTGAGGGAGGGCGTCCTGTCAGAGGCGCTTGTGCAACCCTGTATGCCACAGACGAAGCTCGTTATATCAAATCCACCTATTCGTTTATTTCTCAGCGCCTATAACAACTAATAATCGAGACCATAACCATGTACTTACTGGCAGTTATGCACGCCAATAAAGGGTAGTCTAAACACCCGATGCGCGCCTCC